ATGCTCAGATTTTTGTGTCAAGTTTCACGAAATCGTTACGACTTCTATTTCTAAGGGCAGATATAGATTTTTGACTATTTATGTGGAATGATCAGATCAGATATAAATAACGACAATTTGCTTAGGCACATTTTTGGCTTGCCAAACTATGGTACGATCTATGATGACGACTGTACCAGCCATAGTGGTCTTATAAGATATTTTACAGTCACGATAGTACTTAGTTAAAGGTAACCCCGAATAGATATTCGCGTTACCGCTCTCGTTAGAGGGTACGCTGTCATCCATAGGAAGCAGTTCTCTTATGTCTTTCTAGATCAGATGGAAGAGAGGGAAAACATATACCGTGGATGAGGATAGGGAAACAGATACCCCTTAAAGATAAAAAACCGAACAAGACACTTGATGCAATATGCACGTCAATGTAGATACATACATACTTCGGGTCATTCAGGTTTCATTCCACTTTTTTTTAAAAAATTTTTTTTTTGATAATTTTACCGATTTCATATTATATTATTTATAAGCAAATCATAAAATGCGTACAAATCACATAGTATGCTTGAAAACAAGAACAATTTATTTATTAAAAAAAAACTACTAAACATAAAATATACAAATCACACAAAATCACAAATTAATTATTTTAATTTTTTAGAGATACTCCTTAAAACATTTAAAGAAATACTAATTTTTTTTACCGAAATCTTGATAATTTTTCTTGCACCGTTTTTCTTCTCTCCTCTCTCTAGATCACTCTCTTTCTCTCTCTCTCTAACTCTTGAAAGGTGTAAGAATGGAAATGAGGAGAAAATGGGAGGAAGGTCTCCTATTTATAGAAAACAGGAGCCATTGGATTTGTGCCAAGTGGCAAAATTCGGTAAAAAGAGAGAGTGTTGAAAATCGAAGATGGTTGATTTGACGTGGCATGAAAAACGGAGGAAAAAGACATCCTCCATCGGTGGTGGCACACTCCCCGAGGCGGCAGTGGCCTCACTGCTTGGCGCGCGCTGCAGGCGCTAGGCTACCGTGCCGCGCGCAGGCCTAAGCGCGTTGGGGCGCTGCACGCAGGCCCACTACGCGTAGGCCCCCAGGTGCGCAGCCCTATCTGTGTAGGCCTATTGCGCTGACGGCGCTCGCGCTGTTTGCGACACCTGCCTGCATGCAACAAGACGCATACGCAGGTCTGACCTCTGCGCCGTGCACAGATGGGACGTGCACATTGTGCGCACGTCCTACGCCTGTCGCGCTCGCATAGCGCGCGGGTGCCCACGCTGGCAGCCTTTTCCCACGAGTTTTTCTCGCGGGATTTTCCCCTTCTTTTCTTTTTTTTTTTTAAATTATTTATTTTTTTAAAAAATAATAATTTAATAATTAAATCAAAGTAAAATTAGATAAAATTAAATAAAATCAAAATAAAATAAAATAAAAATAGACATTATTTATGAAATTACGATAATAAGATGTGAAATAAAATTAATGAGTTCCGTGTGCCCATACAACCCGAATAAATAGGGTTTTGCAAATACAATTAAGCATAGTGGTGAGTAGGGTGTTACAAAAAATATGAATGAGGTTTTACTAAGGACGAACCTGTAATAGTAATGATTTAGTAAATGAAAAAAGAAGAAATTGACAGTATTCTAGTTTGAATTTTATGGGAAAGTCGGTTCAAGGAGTGGGCAATCTTACCATCATTGAAGGCGTTAGATTTTCATCAAGAGTGGACGCAGTTAAGGGAACCTTCTCATTTTCAATCCTTCTAAATTAAAAGGAAAGGGAAAGTTTGGTGATTCACTTAGATATTAATGGGCTCAAAAAGATATAGATTTCAGGCTTTACTATGGGAAGAAGTTGTCTTTTTATTAGACCTTTACAATCCATTTCGGTGTAATAGGAGGGAATTTTCATTG